CGGCACCGCGGCGCTCTATTACGTTGTGAATCACACACCGCCGGGTGCCGATCGCGTCGCTGCCGCGAAAGAATGCTACGAGTACGCTCAGCTCGAGGCAAATTCCACTAAATTTGAGGAAGGAATGTTGCAAGTATGATGTTTTTAATAAAAAAAAAAAAAAAAAAAAAAAAGACGGATTGTACTAAATGTGTATTCTACATTTCTCTTCGCGTGTTTTCTTTTTGTTTTCAGAAAATCAAATCCAAATATTTAAGATTTTCGTCCGAACATATTCTGCGTACACACGGACTGGACAATGAAAAATATCTCGCTCTAATTGAAAATCCGTCCAAACTGGTATACGAATTGTATAACGACGAGAGCATACCGTTGCGATATCGAGAAGCGACCAGATACAGGCCCGACATCAACGCTGCCTTTAATAAATTCTGCGAGCTGTTCTCATTAAACGTGATCGAACTGCGTTTGAACTTGTTGCACGAGTGGTTGCAAACTAACGCTAGATTCACTGAATTATTGTCCCAAAGCTTCACGGAAACGTTTGTGAAAACATCCGATCAGAACGTAGATCGCGACATGGAAGATAATTTACTTAGGTAATGTAATTCAATTTTATTTTTTTTATTTTTTAAAAAGGATTCCATCTCTTCGCATGTGATCGATTAATCATTGCGATGTGTTTACAGAACGCGTTACATGCTCGAGTACGAAGGTATGGACAAGTTTATACAAGTTGTCATAAATATAGGTTTTGGCGAAAATTACGGCGAGACCGAATACAATTACAATGTGCGATATCGAGTGCTCCGAGTGCTGCAGACTGTCGTTGACACTTCCACTCTGGAGAAATTGACCGCACGAGATATACGCACATTTAGGTATTGTTTTTGTCATTGTTGTTAATTATGATACGTACATATGCATCTCTAAGCGCACATATAAATATAAATTCGTGTTGCGATGTGAATTGATCTAGAAAAAATGGTAACATTTCAGAAAATACATAAAGACATTGGAGTACATCTGCAAATTGGAGTCGATAGGAGTGTGTTATAATATTGACGCGTTTGAAGCGTGTTCCAAACGTGAACTTGTTCAGATATTGTGGGAAAGGCAACGTTATTCGTCTTGCGTTCTCTCTATCATAGCGCAGATTTGCATCGAGTTTCAAATATGCGACATTCTATTTTGGGATAAAATCTTAAGTCAAATGACGAAGTTGCAAATGGTAAGTTACGACTTTCTGAAGATTCATACTGTGTGTGAAGATTTTCTACCATTGAAAATATATATATTTTTACAGGTGAATGATTTAAAAAAAGTTTTGTTACAACTACAAAGTGAGAACGTAATCTTGCATGACAGCGGTTACAAAATGAGTTGGCAACTGATTATCTCCGAACCATTCAGAGAAATGGATATAAATCCGAGTTCCGAGCAAATCAATCATTGCGTAGAAGCAATTTGTCTGCTATATTCGTGTCCTCTGGCGCACGAATTAGACTTCACTGCCATTGTGAGAAATTGTTTTCAATGTAACCAGGCGTGTTTGGCCGCCGCGCTTCTGCCATTTTTAAATGAATCCGAGACAAAATTCGTTTTGGAGGTAATTAACTTAATAATTTTTTTTAGTATTAAACGTATATATATACATTTGTAATTTTTTGAAATCTTATTTTACAGATAATAAATCAAAAGTACAAAATCGCGGAACTTTTGGAGAATCTAAATCACTTGTCTTCCAAAGGCGTACTTACGGTCGAACAAGTAAGTTTTACGCCGCACAGCATTTTTTCTTTCTGTTTATAAAATTGTGAAACACATGAAGGAACAAATACATCGATCTATTTAAAAACATAGTAATTTGTATTTATGTTGGTATGTTTGCAGAGTATCGACATTATCAAAACCTCCGCGCAACAAAAATCATAAGAAGACATCTAAAAAAAAAAAAAATTGTGAAGAAAACTTTATATTGAAAACCCCGATTTGTATCATTGTATAAAATAAGCAATCAAATTATGTATATCATATATCAATTTATATATCATAATTTTTGTATATTTATAAAAAATAAAAATTGTCCGTTTTCCGGTTTATTTCCTGCGTGCAATTTGCATATCGCGTGAATGTCGTACTTATCCATCCACATGTACGCATCGTGTCGTCATTGCATCCAGCGTTTGATCAATTCGAACTCCATGACTACTCTTTTACGGGGGGATTGTCGTTTCTCCGATTAAAAAGACGTCGCATCTTTATCAGTATTGTTCTCGCAATTATGGTGAAATTAACGACGGATATTGTCGAGAGAAAATGTTCTCAGATATTAACAAACAAATCGCTGAGTAAAACGATAAAAAAGGCGGAGTTGTGCAAGTTGACTCATTTACGTATGAACGACATGTTCATCAGCAGTATCGTAAGCTAAAAACATCTCTCAGCTGAATGAGTTGCACATTAAAAAAAAAAAAAATACAATTTTTGATGTAATATTTACATCACACGTTTGTGCACAGGGCAGATTTGACGTTTGCAGAAACCTGAAAGTTATATATCTTCAAAATAACAACATATCAAAAATAAAGAACTTAAATTTCGCGTGTAACTTGACGCACTTGTACCTGCAACACAATGTCATAACGAAACTGGAAAATCTGGAATCTCTGCGGAATCTTGAAAAGCTGTATTTGGGACATAACAATATCGTTGTAATCGAGGGATTGGAGACCATGACAAAATTGCAAGAATTGCACGTCGAGAGTCAAAAGATACCGCCCGGAGAATCGTTGTGCTTCGAGCCACGCAGCGCTCTTACCTTATCCGTAAATGCGAAATCTTATATGTGAATGTATTCTAACATAATGTTAATGAGAATCACACAGTGAGAGTTATATAAAATCAATCTCCGTAATTTTTTCTTCCTTCAGACGTGTCTCAAAGTTCTCAATATTTCTGACAACAAGATGACATCGTTGAGAGCTTTAACGGGATTTGACGAACTACATACGTTAGAGGCAAGACACAATCTTATCGATGATATAGACGATTTAACTGCAACAATAAGCACGTTGATTTCCCTGAAGGATCTGTCCTTGCAAGGCAATCCCGTTACATCATCCTACAGATACAGAGAAAATCTTATCGCCAATAGCGTCTCATTAGGTGAAATTATACAAACCCTTCTCTCTTTTCGCCGATATTTTCATCATCTTAAATTAATTCGACTTTTTCATCGCAGCTAATCTCGATGGGAAAATCGTGACCGACGTTTGTCGAAGTTTCATGAAAAACTTCCAAGTGGAAAAACATAATCGAAACACAAAGAAAACAACTAAAACATCACTGGGGGATGATATAACAAGTAGGTGCTCGGTACACAGGCGCTTATTTGAAACAAATTATCACTAGGGACCTAGTTGTACGCGGCAAAATTTGTTGCAGGTTCTCTCAACTTGCCGCCGGCCTTCAAAAGATCTATCTCGAGAGTCATTTTTCAGCGTCCCGAACCGCAGTTATCGATAACGATCACTCCCGGATCGGTGGGAAGTCAACTGCACGCATTCCCGTCTTGGAAATCAAGTACACGAGGAAAGAGATAAAGATCATTCGCCATTATATTAACACATTTTATATCTTTTTTTTTTTTTCTATATATTTTCTTGTACACATATATGTTTTTTGTGTGAATATATATATGTATATATATTTGTGTACACATACACACGCACACACACATACACATACTCTTTCCCGTCTCTCTCTCTCTTATCCTGGAAAATCAAAGTTTAATTTACCGTGTCTTTTAACTGATATACGGAGTACAGGAATATATATATAAATCAGTATTTTATATATAAACACATAATACAAATATCTTCTGTTCTTTCTGTAATAAAAAATCAAAAAACACAAATAAAGTATAAAAGTATGTATAAACTAAAAAAAACTTTTATCAACTTCTGGTGTCAAAAGAAAAACATTTGTGACAGAAACGTAGAATATATACAATCGTAAGAAACATTGTGAAAAACGTAAACGTGTAAAGTAAGTGTAGCCAAAAGAAAAGCACCTACTTCGAAGGTAAGAAAATGCGTGTAATACGGCAATACATATGGTAATGGACGAAATCTCTGCGTAAGATATGTTTTTAAAAATTGATTCGAAAGATATTAAAAAAAAACAAACAAACAACAAAAGCATAGAGCAGCTTTGTAAAATATGAGATATATATATATATATATATTTATATATACTCTGGATCTTTTCCACTTAAAATCACTTGTATAAATTAATCTGTATATACATGTACAAAGCTGCATAATTAAAATGCACCATTTTTTCCTGTAAAAAATCAGCGGATTAGATTCGTTTATTCAGATGAATTAAAATAAAATACGCAGAGAAAAGACTGGAATATGAGCCAGGGCCAGTATGCTGACCTTAGTTTTTCATAGTATACGAGAGTTAGCAAATTGACAAAAATTTAAACGAACTAATTAAAAACAAAGAAACTAAAATTAGCCTTTTCTTCACATAATTTATTTTAATTGTACATTACAAAGTCTGAACATTTGTTTGTTGTTTGAACTATAACAGAAAAACCCATAAGTTGCTAAACTCGCACGTGAAGTTTGCATAAAATTATATTCTCTAAAAACCTATGTAAAAGCGCTATAAAACTAAATTTTAGACTTATACGTTGACCGATTGCTTAATGTATATATATATCTGTGTAATTATGATTAGTAACTTATGTATATATATTAGTCGAAATATATATAATATGAAATCTACATAGTTTCTATCAGTATTATCTCACATATAATGGTTATATTTAGCTGCAATATAAAAAATGTTTACAATATCATTGCTACAATATAATTTGTGTCTTACTTTTAACGTAATAAAGCTAACATTAACATTTTAGATGTAAGAAACTATGATGATTTCAAATATCTCTGTCAATATTATAGCGCGCAATATACATATATTATATATATATAAAATATATATAATATACATATTAATAGATGGTATATATTATATATGTATATATTAATATTTATATATATATATAAATTCTGACTTTATGTGTTTTGTGTCACAACTTGTTATATATAATTTTTTTTTTTTTTTTAAGAGCCACTATGAATTTCATTGATAATCAAATCATACTTTATTTAATTTTGCGAAAAAGCCTTATCTTATTGCATTCAAGCGTTACAGCAGACAGTATACATAGAAATATTCTGCTTTATTGATTACGTAACTGTTTACTTTCTATGATTTCATCTTTGAGGAGAAGTTTTAACAAACTGATACAATTGTGCCATTACGTATGTAAACCATTTTACCATACGCATATTTTCATACAAAATATATTACAAACCAGAACATAATTTGCACTTTTGTTTACTGTTACAACAACCTGTAAAATATTAAATTCAAAGATGAACAATAGAAAGTAATGAGTTTTAATTAAAGAAAGAACAGTGAAGAAGTTTAATAAATCAAAAGAACATGTACTTTCAAAATTGATTAATTGGAGTATCACGACAATTACTGTACTGCAAAAATTTGAATAAATATTTCACATCGATTATTCTCGGTATGACTGTAATCGTCTTTTTTTTTATTTTTTATTTTTTTTTTTTTTACTGCTATTAAATGCTTATTCGAAACTTTATATCAAAACTTAAAATTGCAGGGCACCCCGTCTTTTACATCTATATATTTATCGCCATAACTATGTATAAATAGCTTATTTCTTTAAATTTGTTTACATACATATATATTATATATGTATAAGATAATTTTTATGTTTTCGTGCATATAAATACAAATTTCTTAATCACTTCAATATGAACACTGTAATTTATAATATATATGTAATATTTTTCTCGTTAGAAAGATTTTATCAATGTTCCATTCTTTTTTGTTTTTTTATTTTTTTATTTTTTTTAACTTTTTGTCTCGATTCTGAATCGAGTTTTAAGCTCGAGTTCTTGGGCAAGCCATAAGCACGAAGTTTTTTTAAACCTCTTTTAACAAATATATATAAAGCTCAATATTAACTAAAAGACACCAATGCGAGCCACATTTTAGTGTTCTGAATACTCCATGTTTCTTTTAGTTTGGTTTTTTTTTATTAGCATCAGGATCTGTGTGATAATCGATATTGAGTCGCAGATGGATTGGAAGTGCAGATGCGTTCTTCCGGTCCATCATTGTTAAATATACATCTTTTTAAAATTCTGTATTATCGTACAGAAACTTCTTCAAAATTGCACATTGTATATACATGTATATACTTGTCAAATTTCATACTTAACGATCCAATAAAATAAAAAAAGTTTTGTTATCAAATAAAAATAACTTGCGTTTGCTGCTCGCGACAATATCACGTTCCGAGGATTGATACAATTGTACGCAAAGACTAGTGGTTTGGCTCGTATTGGTTTTTTAAATTTGTTTTCAGTTACTATTTTTTAATTCACAAAGGCTCAAATATTGTTCCTCACTTTATATATTAAACTTCATAAAATATTTAAAAAGACTTATCGATGTTTTTATAGAATACTTCAGTCTGATTTTTTTTTTTTTTTTTTATCATACGCATTAGACAAAATGCGTATTCTATAATATAAGGTAGAGATACCGATTTTTTAAATCTTTCTAAGTCTCCTAAGATTATAAATCGTTCGTGGTGTTTGAAGACCAAGAGTGCCCTTTTAACAAACAATTTTCGAATAATTACTGCGCTGTTTGCTGCTGTATTTCTATCTTTTCCACCGTCATGTCTGGATTCATAGCGGTGGCTTCTTGTATTGCTTCCGCCAGAGCCCGATCGTGATCAATTGGATCGCCGTCTGATTGTATCGTGATCTTTTGTTCCACTCGTGTCTCAACTACGCCATCCTTTTCTGTCTTGTACTGTGTAGAGACGCGATTAAATTAAGACACAATTATTATAAGCAAAGAAACAATAGCGCGACTTTTATAGTCACGTTGTAATCGCAGCGTTATACCAACCGTGATGGTTTCGACAGTACGAGTTTTACTGGATATAGTCTGTGTACTGACAATTTCTCCCGTGGCGCTATAACTACCGTCCTCGTTTTCGAGAGCTACTTTTCTAGTTTCGGTTGCCACAACAGGTACTGTAGTTGTCGTTGTTACATTACTATCCGGTTCTCCCGTGTAAACGCGTTTCTCCGTCGGAATTACAGCTGGATCACCCTGAATCAAATTTAAATAAGAGATATTTATTTCAAAATATGTGTAATCAAAAAATTTACTGGCAATAAAACGAAAAAAACAAAATAACGCGTAAGAGCACAAGAAACATTGTATATACACATAAAATTAAGAAACACAATATTTATATAAATATATAATATATTATATATTATATATATTAGACAACTTAGTAGATGCGATAATTTTCACTAAACTGATATATACAAAAGAATTACAACATACACATCTTTATCTATGTATCTCTTAATCTTTATACACATCTCACACACAAACTGTTCTCAAAACAAAAAACGTAGTAGAAAAAAAAACATTTCTTTTTTTTCATATTTGTGTCTGAATGTCACATTGCAAAAATGTTATTTTTTGTTACGTAATATACGAAGAGCAAAATACCTTGATGCAGATGTAGGAATTTCTCAGCTGCTAAGATAGTATATAAACATATTTTTCGTGTAAAGAGATACCTGATGTTTTGTTGCTCTAAATAAGTACAATCCTTCGTTCCGTATTAGAAGAAAGATTTTGACCGTTACACGTTTAATTGAGAAATTACCTGATAATATTGATTGTAGAAAGCTTGCTGGTCATCGTCAAGATCAATTGGCGTGCCCGAATCACCGCTGCTCGAACTCGATGTACTTAGCCTTCGCGAGAACAGCTACGCCATGCAACGTGTTAATCAAGCAGCCAAAATTATTTACAAGAAAGAAAAATAAAAAAAATAATTCCGTAACGAATAACAAGAAATGATAATTACAGATGATATATTAAATTTACAAATTACAATTTATACATTAAAATGAATGGTAATTTACGCATGTAAATAAAGCGTTAAAATACTATTAAAAAAACCCATATTTAAAACTTCTTAGGCATAATATATGTATATATATATATATTAACGTTTAATGTATACTTTAAAGCGATTTTATGTGCAAATATGATTGTGTACATGTAGTACAGTTATATGAAAAATGATATGAACAAACGTAAAAAGTGATAAATATTATATTTTTAAAATAAAGACGATATAAGCAATTACAATTTACAAAAAAAAAAAAAAAAAACTGCTTACATGCTTCAACTGCTTATTAAAGTTCAAGCATTTATTATCCCCCACAAAAAAAAAATCAAGAATAATCAGCGATTACCTGCTCGCCGGAAAGCACGTGGCTCGTAGTTCGAACTTCTTGCGTTACCACTCGTTGCTCTTGTCTCGTTGCACTAGTCGCGGTTGTATGCGCTACAGTCTTTTCCTCTACCTAATGTAAAAAATAAATTACAGCAAATGATAATGAGAATTAGATCAAAATATAGAAAACAAAAGATATGGAAGACAATATCGCAAATTTTATATACTGTGCGCAAAATTATTTCTATCGTACGTGGCAAAGGCTTTTAAATTATCAACGCGCGATTGTATTATCCTCTATATGCTCTATAAATACAGCTGTCTGCTGTAATAAAATACTGATTACACAAACCTGACTCGTCTTCTGATTCTTTTCAAGGTCTTCGTGCATCGTAGCGGTACGTGTGGTGACAGCTGTCGCTGTCATGTACGGAGCTCTACCATCATCCGGCGCTTCTGCCTAAATACAACTATACCATGTGACTATGATCTCAAAAATACATAACTAATGATAAATAATAAGTGAAAAATCGATGAGTAATATGTAAAATGTGAACAAGTGCTTGTGAAATTGTGATGTTATATCGTGTTTACAAGAAAAAAAAATAAAAACTTTTATGTGTGTGAAAGAAGATAATTTCTTATACAAGATTAGGTTTAGGTAAAGACGACGCGCAAATGCTGCGATTGGCGTTGTATGTAAACTGCAATGTAAGTTACGTTTCTTCACTATATTTCAAGAGAAATACTTGCGCATATATGCGTCTAACTAAACAGTCATTAAAAAATCTTCAGATCTCAACTACGCACATTTACTTCAGACAAATCTATCGCTTGATTTCATGCAAAATGAACGAAACACACGAGCAAGAATTAAAAAAAATATTCTAGTATCGATCAATAGCAAAAAAAAAAAAAAAAAAGATATTTTATATATGTATGTATAAAATAATGACATGCAAGATCTTTGTTTTTCGATTAAATGTGTGATGTGAGTCGGACAGTTGAATTTTTGATTGATCGAAATGTGAACAATTACGGTCTCTAAACTAGACTTTTATTCTTTCCAAGTTCATCACCTTGTTTACGTGAGTAGAGACTGTAACCTGGCCTGTGCCACCTGGCGTAAGATCCTCGATTTTTTCTTGAATATTTTGCGTCACTCCTTCCTGATCCTTGACCACAGATTGTTTGGTCGTGGTCTTTACGATTGTCGGTGTTGTAATTGGAATCGCGGGTTTCTTCAATTTTGTGACAGAAGCGACGGATTTCGGCGACTCTTGTAGATTCTTCAACATCGTCGTGCTGTCCACCGGCTGGTTGTTGTTTCCGTATATCACGCCGTCTTTCACGTACGACCCGTCCTCGCTGAAGAGCTCCTGATTGTGCGGTTTTCCGGACTTGTCGTATATCTTTCCGTCCTTAATGAAGGCGCCATCGGTGCCGAAAGGCGCTCGCACGATCGGTTTCCCATCCTTGTCGCACACAAGTCCTCTGCACACCATCGTGATCGTGATCGTTGTGAAATACTTATCGAGCGGTTTTCCAGTAGGCGCACAAATTATTCCGTCTTTGACGACGTTTCCCTCGCCGTCGAAGTTCGCGAGTTTCACCGGTTTCCCAGTTTTGTCCACGACGATTCCCTGTATCACTTTCACACCTTCCGGTCCGAATGACTCCTGAGTCAGCAACTGGCCGTTCGCGTCGTAGATCTTGCCGTTTTTCACGAAACTGCTTTCCGGTGGCAAAGCTCCTTGAGAGAGAGGTTTCCCGTTGCGTCCGTGAATTAAACCGTCTTTAATGAAACTACCGTCGTTGCCGTAAATATTTTGATTGAGATATCCTCCCGTGTGATCGTAAATTCTGCCGTTTCTGACCACGCTACCCTCGTTGTCGAAATTGCCGTATTTCAATGGTTTCCCATCGTCGCCGCACACCAAACCGTAACGAACGTACGCGACCGTGATTATCGTCTGTTTCTGATTCAACGGCTTGCCGTTTGGTCCGTACAGCAGACCGTTTTCTATGTAGCTACCGTCGTCGCCGAAAGTACCGTGACCAAGAGGTTTCTTGTCTTTTCCGTAAATAATACCGTTCTCGATGTAACTGCCCTCGATGCCGAACGAGGCGTGATTAAGAGGTTTTCCGTCCTTGCCGTACAATCTACCTTCCTCGATGTAACTGCCACCGGGCAATTCGGAGCCTTCGTTCAGCAATTGACCTCCCCATCCGTATATGAGACCGTCGCGAATGTAACAACCGTCCGGCTTGAACGCACCTTGCTTCAGCAACTGTCCGTTCTTGTCGTAGACCACGCCGTCTCGTATGTAACATCCCTCGGGCACCAAAGAGGATAGATTTTTCGGATTTCCGTGACTGTCCACAATCTTGCCGTTGTTAACTGCCACGTTGTCCGGACCTTTGTCGTCCTGCGTCAACGGCTTGCCGTCTCTGCCTATGATAATACCGTTTCGAATTGTGTTACCGTCGGGTCCAAACACACCTTGCAACACGATCCTGCCGTTTTTTCCGTGGATTAATCCACCCGCTACGTACGAGCCATCGGATCCAAACGACTCTCTGTTCAAAGGCTTCCCGGAATGATCAAATATCACGCCATTGGCTATAAAGCTGTCTTCCGGCAGAGATGCGTTCAAATTCAGCGGTCTGTTGTCGCTGCCATAGATGAGACCGTCTTTGACGTAACTACCGTCCGGTTTAAAGAACGAGAATTTCAATAATTTGCCATCTCTGTTGTATATTTTGCCATCTCTAATAGATGCGCCCTCCGGCACCAATGAGTCCTGATTAAGCGGCTTTCCGTTCTTCGCGTAAATAATACCTTTCTTTATGTAACTTCCATTCGAGCCGAACGACTCTTGTTTCACCGGTTTGCCGTCTTTGCTCAGAACCGTGCCATCTTTTATGGTCAATCCGTCAGGACCGAGAATAATATTCGACGGTACCGTGCCGTCCGCGTTGTACAATATACCGTCTTTAATTACAAGATCGTCGGGCTTAAAGAGTACCTGGGACAGTGGTTTTCTATTTCTGTCGTACACCATACCGTCCTTGATCGAATTACCATCGGCTATTAACGGAATTTGACTCAGGAGTCTTCCGTCTTTTCCGTGTATCACACCGTCTTTCACAAAACTACCGTCGGATTTGTAATAAGCGTGCTTGATGGGTTTGCCATCTTTACCAACCACTTTGCCATCCTTCAAGTAAGCACCGGTCGGCAGCAAGGATCCTTGAGTCAAGAATTTTCCATCTTTAGAATAAATCACACCGTCTTTCACAATAGACCCGTCGGAACTGAATGATTCGTGTTTGATCGGTTTGCCGTCCTTCGAATAAACCTTTCCTTCCGCAATGTAATTACCCTCGCAGCCTAATTTCCCGCTATTTTTCGGTTTTCCGTCTTGTCCGTGAATCAAACCGTCGCGGACAAACGAGTCGTCAGGTACTACGGCTATCCGACTCAGAGGCTTGCCCTCTTCGTTGGACACTATACCGGCAACTATGTAATTTCTGTCTGTGTCGTACGTTCCCTGAGTTACAGGTCTGGAATCCGACGCAAACACGAGACCTTCTTTCACGTACGTGCCGTTCGCGCCTAACGAGCAGTATTGAACCGGTTTGCCGCTCTTCTGCAATATTTTTCCCTCTTTAACCACCGCGTGATCAGGTCCGAGGAAAGATTCTTTCACCACTTCACCGTTATGGGAATGAATGATTCCGTTCTTGATGTAATTTCTGTCCGTACCCAGTACTTCCTGATGGAAAGGTTTGTTGTCTTTGCCGACAATTGTGCCGCCGTTAATATGAACACCGTGCGGTCCGAATTCACCTTTTTTCAAAGGATTACCGTCTTTGCCGCAAACCTTACCGTCCACAATTCTGCTGCCGTCTGGGCCAAGGGAGCTCTGGTCCAACAGTTTACCTTCTTTGGTATAAATTACGCCTCCGATGATTCTTGAGCCATCGGGAAGAGGCAGAATGTGATAATCCGGTTTCGATTCCGCCGTCGTTGGCACGGCTGTTGCAGTTTTACTGTCTGCATCTTCAGCGTGACGTTCAGCAGCGATGAGAGCCGCTGTTTGATTCTTGTCGGCATCTTCCTTCGGAACGCTCTTCTGTTGCTCCTTCAGACCGGCCGATTCCACGTAGTTGAGCCCCGGTGTCTTTAATCCCGCTGGCTGTTTCTCCGCTTCTTTCGTTTTTCTCTTTTCCGCGGATTCTACCACTTTCTTCTCTTCTCCCGGAGCGTAGTTAAATGCCAATCCCGTAGCCTTTCGACTGGCCGAAGTAGGTGACAGTTGGTCCTGTACTCCCGGTGACGCGGGTCTCTCTTCGTACGTAAAACCGTGGGGAGTGAATTGTTTCTTCGGTGGGGTTGACGGTTCAGTTTCCACATAATCGTACGGCTTCGTGTAACCGGCAAGCTGCTGAGGAGATTTCGCGGAATCTTGCGTTTTTTCTTGCGTATCCGTAGCTACTTTATCGCTCGGTTTTTCTTGATTTTCCAAAGCAGAAAGTTTCGGTTCGGTGGTGTCACGTCTGTCCGCGGATTCGTCGAGTTCTTTGTTCTTTTTCTTGCTTTTATCCTTGTCCTTCTTGGCAAACAGGAAACCGCCGACGGGACTCTTGGATAATATACAAAAACACATGCAGTACAAAAAAAATACATGCTAATGGTACATGTAAATTAAAAATTACTTAAATATCGTATCTTGTATTATAAACAAAGCTAATATGATGGATGATATAAAAACGTCTACATAATGCATAATCTATTTTACTTTTGCAGAAATGAACACGTTTACATTCATGCGTATTTGAATAATATAACGGACGTGACTAAACATTCAACGAAATATGAATCTTCCAATATCCACTACTGAAGTTTGCTCGGTATTAGCAACGGCATTTCTCAAAGAGAGAAACACGTTCGAAAACAAATTCAATTGCGAATTTACTACTCGCATGAAATAAAAAATATAAAACACGTCTCACAATAGAGGCATATATATATATATGTCACAGGACGTAAAAAAAAGCAGCGAAGCATAGGCGACGAGATACAATATCTTACCTTAACTTTCTCCTTCTTTTCTTTATCCGTTTTTTCAGGACTATCTTTATCCTTCTTTTTCGATTCTTTTTTAGACAGCGATTTGTCATCTATCTTGTCGAGATGAGCATTGTCATTAATCAGATCGCTATTATTCAGATCATTGTGATTTTCTTTTTCGTTCTCATTCTGTTTATCCTTCTTCTTTTTCGATAGACCACCGGGCGGTAGGACAGCGATTCCTCCGACCGGTTTCTACAAGTAAATTCATCCAATCACACGTCACTTCATGCAAACAAGCTTAAAGCTGACATTACATCGACTAAAATAATATTAGAGAAAAAAAAAGAAAACTACACGGCATTACACGATTCTACGATATAACGCATGCACTCTTCATAGAGTTATACGGTCTGCGCTCTCAAAATATGCGTGTATGTTATTATCGTTATTTGCCTCAAGTCTCTGTTTTGTTATTATTATGTAAACGTAGTTAGAGTTTCAGGAAACTTCTAATAGCTTTTAATGTTGCGACCTTTGATTAGTTTATTGTTAATCGATTAGTATTTAGTTAAGTAAAGTCGGTGTTAGTGGTTTTATATCAAAGTTCGATCGAAAGGCATCTTCGGTTATAGTGAATGAACAACGAGGAAGTTCTCTAAGTTATTCGCATGCTGCTAGCACACACTAAAATGTCAAGTAACTAACATCCCACATTGAGGCGATGGCCGTATGAGTTATATATATATATCGTTATGAGTGCAAAAAAATGAAGTTGTTATTATTCCATATGTAGCGACATGCACTGGACGAAACACAAAACACCAAGTGAGCACACGAGAACCAACATTAATGAATATTTTTTAAAAGGATTTAAATTGAAGCGGAAGTGTGTTTCAGGTACAAATTATGTATACCTTTCTCCCACGATCTGCATCGTATTCTCCTTCCAGGCTACTGGTACTGCTAGCTGACGTTGTTCCGGCGCTTGTTTTTCGTGTGAGCTATCGGTGTTAGTTATGTGTCAGTTAATAAAATTAGTGTCATTAATACCTCAAAATTATAAACAAAAAAAAAAAAAACAGGAACAATTACTTCTCCAGAACCTATTTTCCGAAGTCGGTTCGTCTCTACGTGGCTTTATTTGTACATTGTACGCGTTTTCTTTCTTACATTATAAATCCGTTTACTATCTTACATGATTACTATTTTACATTTAAGGAAACAGCATATATATAAATGTCTAGAAAATACACATCTACCAATCTGTTCACATTTTACTGTGACCAATTATAGTGTTAATTATATCTTCCTTTGTGAGTGAAAAAAAAAAAGAATTGCTTTGAAAGCGTAGACCGCAGGTGACAGTTGAAAATCTCATTGTTTATGAATTTTTTGCTGTCAATCGAAAATCACGTCCGCGTGACGAACTCATGCATACTCTACGTACTAGCAGATTGTTCTGAACAAATGTGAGAGTTCTCTAAACAAAAAAAAAAACCAAAAAAAAAAACGCGTAAACATATTACCTTCTCTTTTTGCTTCTTGATTGGACTAGGCCGTCGATCTATATGCTCTATATCATCGGGAAGCATATCGGGTTCATAGCTCATAGTATGTCGTTTGCTTGGTTCAGAACCGTACGTTTCAACTGGTTTAGGCCCACCTAACGCTGTACAAGGCAGTCACACTACTTCAAACATCTTAGTATAGCGTGTACTTAAAATTACGATTGTAAAAACAAAAAACTGCATGTCGGTTAGTAGCTCCGTAAAGTGTAAAAAGGTTCGAAAACTTTGCAGAGAATAAACTAGAGCTTCAAAAAACTCGATACATTCGGCCGAGAATATAATGCCACTAATAATAATAATAATAATAATAATGAAAAAAACGCATGCTTGTGCAAACATCTGAATCATGTTTCTATGTTAAAAAAAAAAAAATATTTATTAAGTCAGACAGAGAACCTTGAATGAAACGTTGTATATTAATTAGCAACGGTTGAAGTCTTCGCTAATAAAAAAAATCATCGTTACTATGTCATAACATTCATAATATTTGAATATCTCTCTCATTCGCAAGTAATAAAAAAAATTCTATTTACCATCCATACTTCGGGACGCGAGTCGTCTGCCGCTCAGAGATCTCTCAAATTGCGGAGGTTGTCTGTCGATGGGAGTCTTCTTCGTTTCGTAATGAGTTCGTCCCGAATATCGGAAGCGAGATCCCAGATGCGGGATCAGTCCGACCTTCTTCACAGGCTCGGGGCTCATAAGTCTACGGGAAGCGGAAATTTCTCATCCAATTAAAGAAAAGTGAGACACGCGTCGCGAGACGAGAGATCAATTGCAGTTGTCAAACCTACCTAAAAAAGGTATGATGCTCCACGCAGACTTTCCACAATTTTTTCGCTGCTCTATGATTTGCTAATTTGAATCCTATCGTGGACTCGAACTGTTCGAAGTCGCCTGGTCTGATTTTAATGTAGAAATTGTGCCTCTTGTAAGAGATTTTTAATATCTTCGGCCAGGCGAACCTGTTGATTCGTAAACGATCTCTATAAACAAGAAGACCCGAAGCGCACACACCTAACATTATGTCGACGCCTTCGGAATCTTTCGCGGGATGAAGATCCACGCCGTACATGGCCAATTTCTTCGCGTTCTCGAGATAATGCAGTTCCGCTTCGGCGGGCGTTTGACCCCTAAACGAAAAAATAGAAAACAAAAATGTTTGAAGGTGATCACAAACACAATTAGCGCACAATTGTCGACTCTTTCTACTAAATCCAAAGCAATTGTTTGCGCTAAAATAAAACGAACTTGTGTGTTTTGTGGAGATCCATCACTTTCTCGACCAATTCGGGCGTTTGGTTGGGCGCAAATTTAAAATCTTTCAAATACGCTCTTCCGTGTTCGTCGGGATCGTAGTCTCCAACTTCGGATTGAACTAGATACGAGCCCAGAAGAGCGTGCGTCACAAACGAACAAAGCAAACGTCCTGTGATAATGTCATTTCTGATTTGTAGACACAGCTGATAGCGCGTTATGTCTTCCTGCAATTGGGCGGGATCCGGTGGATAAAATTTCACTTCGAAGTTGAACTTCCACGGCTCGCCTAAACCAAAAACATCAAAAACAAACGACGAATGAGAATAATTCTGAAACTGCGTCACTTCTCCGAAACACGATAGTCTGCGAACATACGACATACTTTTTACAAATTTTGTTACTCGTTTATTGAGATCCAACCAATTGCGCGGATCGTGTCTGTCCTCGTAAATGAGACCGAAGTAATCCTTCTCCAGCAAATTCATGCTCTGACAAACCATATCGAGAAGTTCCTGGCCTCTTGCTTTTCTCTACAAAACGAATCCGATCATCATTCGTCAAACACACAGTTGCGCGCGTAAATAAATTCTTTGCTCGCGCATATTGCAAACTCACATCGATATAGAAATCTTTCACGGTTCCATCGAGGAGCGTGATCTTGGCCAGAGCCAGTTTTCCCTTGCTAACCGGGCTCTTCGTGGGCGAGTTCGTTCCCGTTCCATTTTCCGCAGTCGCTTCCGTCGGAGCGGCAACGGGTTTCTCTTTATTCGGTTGTTCCTCCGGCATATTTTCTCCCCTCTATATATATATTTTATATCTGCAAGTAACAAATGGATATACGTGATCTCTCGCTTTCACAGCATTAAAATCAAATCCGAAGAATATATTTCGTGAAAACGTTCGACGAAAAAAAAAAAAAAAACAAACAAACTACTCCAGATCGCGCGAATTCTCTCTTCGACTTTCTATTTTTACGACGCAATAAAACTAAAATATTGCGGCTAATCCACTTTGACGTTCCAAATATATTTGACAACAGATCGCGACGAAGATTTATCTCGATATCTCTTTTTTTACGCGACGTCGCGTGGAAGGTCGCGTTGACGCGATATATCTCGCTATAGATCCCCGTCTAGACCCCCCTCCCCCCCCTGCCGAGGGTGTCACGCGAAGGAAATAATCAATATTTTGTGAGAGCTCTCCGAGTGTACGCGCGCCTCGCGGTGCCACACGTCGCCGGTCGTTTAATTTTGTTATTAATGAACGACAAATGCATATGCGCGCAAGCATTGCGCACACAGTCGTTGCTCCGAGGGGTTCGTCGAACTTCCTCGAGCGTGCAGGGGTGTGCATCCTTGAACTTTGCAATGAATATAGCGACATAGAGGCACCATCTCGACTGCGCGCGTCTATTTTCTCGTATAAAAATAACACAGCTTTTTATGCACGACTCTTTTTCTTTAAATACACCGCGGAACAAGTAAGGAACAAAACGACACAAGCTAGAGGATGCGTAGAGATAAAAATACTCTCATCAAGTAAATACGATAATAATACTTCACGTGCGATGCCGAAAAAGTGAGACACAAAGGCGCGTGATTTTTAACACACTTTTACATTTTTAATACTTTTTAATTTAAATATCGTTTAAAATCCTATTGTTCGCGTGACAAATACAACAAAAATCCTGAACGCTCTTGTTTCCGTGACTAAAGTAGATAGTCGTTGGGAAAATTAACACCGCGGCCAACAGTCGAATTCTCAATCCGCGTGACAAATGCTTTGCGACAAATATTTTATATAAAAAATATTTGTATGTAAAAATATCAATTTTTAATACTTAAACACTCTATCGTTCGCGTGACGCGAATAAAGACTCTTGTATAATTTCTGTGATTAAAACAGGTAGTCATTGGGAAAATTAACACCGCAAGCCGAACTCGATCTGCGTAACAAACATTTGCAAAAATGTGTACATAAAGACACGAATAATATATCGTACATATGTAGCTAGTGTTTTAACACACTGACACCGCGTGCGTGATGTAATTTGCGACTGCAGAGAACAAGTTTCGAATATTCTACGTGAGAAAGAGCAGTAAAACATTAAAAAAACAGCGACCCTGACCGATACGCTCCGCAGAATTTATGTATCGCGAGTTGCTTGCAACTCGAGCGTGTAGCCTCGTTCAACGGCATTGGACAAATAGTAATTCAGTCTCAATTGCGCGGAATCAGTGTCACACAAAACGATCATCGTTAACATTCCAAAGTGAAAGAGTGTGAGAGAGAGAGAGAGAGAGAGAGAGAGAGAGAGAGAGAGAGAGAGAGAGAGAGAGAGAGAGAGAGAGAGAAAGAAAAGGAGAACGTCTTCTAAAAGCAACGAGGACTCGTGTACTCGCGTACACAGCCGTTTACAAGGCGGATTAACGTATTGTGATCCCTAAATAAACGCGTCAGCCCTTATGGAATGATCGCTCGATTCTCTCGGACACACGAGAAGAGATAAAATATATCAAAAATTATCGACAGCCCGCAAATCTCTCGCCGATTAGATAAGCTCTGAAACGTGTCATTTCGCCGACACATAGTGTTTAAAACTGTTTTTTTTTTTTTTTTGATTAATACCTTTTAGATTGCGCATTAAATTATTTATATTGTTGAACTCGCGCGATTTACATTCTCCTAACCGTGTGATTTTGATTTGTCGCAAATTACAGTTCCCGAATAACAAATAGCGCGCAAAGCAATTCATTCTATTCGCTGTGTTTTGCACTGGAATTTACGCAACGAAATAAAAATAGCTAATAGGCAGTGTCGATTACACAACCGCTCTCGGGGGACGAGCGGTTTCCTTCCGCACGCAATACGCGGCTTCCGATTTGATTAAGTAAAATTTGTACGAGAGACTAGACCGTTGAAAAAGAAAAAAAAAACAAAAACTAATTGGCCGGATCCGAAAGCCGAGATTCTCGACTGTACGGTACATTCGAATTCGACGGGAGGAGAGGTGTCGTCATCGCTGGAAGCGGGCGGCCTTTACCAACGGCGCTCTTTACTAAACTGATGAGGTAATACTGGCGATTTACTCGTCGTCGCGATGATGCGACACTGTCTCGCGCACAGGTTATTCCGTTCGATCAACATTGCTTCTTTGTGAACGCACGAACTCATATCTTTTTCTCAAATTATTTAGTTTAATAAATTCACTTTGCAAATAATTTTTTCTATTTTTATTCTTTCATCTAGACTCAACCCGCTGATATTACACGATGCGTGTAAAAATTGAATTTAAAAGTAACAATCCTGTTTTTTTTTTTTTTTTAATAAATATTACGTCCTTATATTTGTTTCATTTGACGCGCGAGTTCACTCTTTTTTGCCGACTATAACTTACTTAGTGATAAATTTAGTTTACAAATATTTTTTTGTATTTTTTTCTCTCAAAACGCGCTGAGATTCAACACAGTTTATGTAAAAGTGAATTTTAAAATATAAAATCCGGTTTTGTAAATAATTGTTTATTACTTATATATTTTTTGCTGATGCGAACACACACACATGTGTGTCATGGAGAAACAAATTTCATTGAGAAGAACCGTCACGAGAGAAGGCTCGTCTTATTGCGAACTACTCGAAAGGAAAGACTTCGTTACTCGTGTGTGTGTGTGTGTGTGTATGTTTGTATGTCTGTGTCTGGCAAGCATAAATTCTTTCATTAAGACAGTGTCGCCAAGAGACGAGCGCGGAAGCGAACGAGGATCGGCATCAGAGGCGAGCGTGTTGTGCGTGTAGGCGTGTGCCGAGGATCACGCAGACGACCTCTTGTTCTCAAACAACCCTTTGACATACACGCGCGCGCACATGTACGCACACATGCAACTAAAACCCACGCAATGACTCTCAAAAGAAGTGGAGGCGTCAGGGACGCGCGGGACGGAGAGGAAATTTCGCCAGTCCGCCGTCTTTCATGGAACCCTTTAAAGTTTAAAGGGCGAAAACGAGAGGCCGACTGGCTTACCGCGCGTTGAATTCAACATTATCCTATACGAGGCACCGCTAGAGTCCTCTTCAATCGTTTCTCTTCACAAGACTTCCCTCTCTTTCTCTTTCAGAGTCACCATCCGAATCGTCCCCCTCGAATTGATCGTAAGCCGGTTGGTTGTCTCGACTCAACCTCGGATTGTTTGATCGATCAACAAAACTTTGATTTACGGACGCAATAAAAATCACAAAAATCTCGCAACGTTACTTCAAACAATTAAAACAAAAATGTTGATTTTTCGACACAACGCATGTTGTTTCAATAATTTCAATTTTTTTATGTTTTACGTGATAAAAATAATACAAATTGTATAAATGTTGTACTTCGAAGAATGATAAAACGAAGGTTTTCCGACACTACACAACGTCAATTTGAACATCTTTCTTCGCGAAGATATCGACGAAGAAAAAACTTTCGCGAGTTTTTTTTTTTTGCAACGACACCGCAAAGAAACGGAGATGGAGGTTCTCGCTGCCGTGACATAAGGGCGATACAGAAGGGTTCGACGAGAGGGTGGAATTGCTGAAGCGTAGCGGCAATTACGGCTTCCGCGAAACGTGCCTCACAATCGACTGCACCCCCGCCGACTGATAACAATAGAAAGATAAGGGTACTACGCTCTCGTGTACACGGTTGCAACGTAATCAGACGCGTCTGGCGCGCATGCTTTTTTTTTGTTATCGTAAAGAGGCAAATATATACCGTGTAATCGATACTGTCAAACGGAGAGATAAACTTGAGAGATTTGAGAGAGAAGGTTGAGAAACGAAAAAAAAAAAAAAAAAAAACAACAAACAACGGAGACCGAGATACGATACGCTGTAATCAGAGCCGTGCAATTTTACCATCGGGATGACACACTCGGCAGACGTGCGATAAATTACGGAGAGGGAGAAAAAAAAAGAAGAGAAAAACAAAAATGTGCGAAACATGTGACAATAAGTAGAATGCGAGAGTGCACAAATAAATGTCCCATGATCAAAAGACGTCTGCGTGTTGTGCGACACGAGCGATAACAGAAATATACACGCGCGTCTCGGTTTCTTTCAGTCGAGGAATTGAAAAAGCGGTGATTATTATCGCGCGCTTTTCTCCGTCCAACCCTTTCGTCCAACCCTTTCTCTTCCTTTCGTCGCGTAATATCACGATTTCCCTGCAATATAATTCCTAATGGCCTGCAGCGAAAGGGGATGATGAAAACAAGCGGAGTCGTGGAGAAAGACAAACGTTTCTTTGAAACGAGTCGGATTAAAAAGGCGAAATAAACATCACCGTCAGACGATTTCTGCTGCCATCTTCAATTTATCTTACGCGCTGACGATGATCTAGACGAAAATAATTTTTGGAAAAATGTGGAATTAATCATTTATAATGTTGATAATCATTCGATTTTTGTAACTCAGTTGTATTTCTATTATTAAAAAATGTACGTCTATTAAATTTATTAAAAGTAACTTTGTACAATCAAACTAACAAACAATACATTTCTGCGAAATTGCGTCTATAAACAAGTCACCGCAATAGACGTTTTCTGAAGTACGAATCTTAATAAGTTACAGTTTAACTGCAGTATGCGACGATTATAAGATATAATCGCGAGAGTATTTTTTGTATCTTTGTTACAAGCGCGTCGAGAAATGACGAGAATAAAAACTTTCAGCAGCGTCTCTTATGTAAGTACATCATTGAAATAAAAAGACTACAACTATACCCGATGTTTTCTAGGTAGCTTAAAATTTGCCCTCCATCACGTTATCGATAAGAAAAAAACT